AGATTCTATCACCGCTGGCAAGATGGCTTTGGTGTCCACACATGGGTAAGAACTCTTCTTGACTGATTAGCAATACCACTGCAGTTAACACTCCTGTTAGTCAGTGACTATAGCAGAGTAATGGGGTGAACCAGGATGAAGTGCATTCTTGTACCATTTCAGACTCCTAGTTCTCCTTTTGAATCTGGTAGCAGGGACTCTGCGTCTATCACCGCTGGCAAGATGGCTTTGGTGTCCACACATGGGTAAGAACTCTTCTTGACTGATTAGCAATACCACTGCAGTTAACACTCCTGTTAGTCAGTGACTATAGCAGAGTAATGGGGTGAACCAGGATGAAGTGCATTCTTGTACCATTTCAGACTCCTAGTTCTCCTTTTGAATCTGGTAGCAGGGACTCTGCGTGGCTGCAGTGTCTTTGCTAGTAGATCCTGATGTGAGACTGGAGATTTAATCACTGACTCTTTGACTGAGAACAAAGATCAATGTGCACTGAAATGGGGCAAAATAAACTGGAGCTTTCTGCAAGTGATGTGTGTCGGACCTGAGTTTTTCTTGACTAGCAGAAATAATAATAAAATATGTTTGGTATAATTCCCTTTTGGATCTGTTTACACTGAAATTAAACACCTGTGACCGGCTTATGCCCACTGAGTTGAGCCCACAGGGCTTCAACTAAGGGGCTGTCTAATTGTGAGGATAGAGTCTAAGCTCCAGAATCCTGAGAGATGGGAAAGTTCCAGAGCTTGGGCAGTCAGCTTGCACTTGCCAGCCAGGGGTGTCTAATTGTAGGGTTGACATACACTTAGGCTATGTCTAGATTGCAGGCTTCTTGTGCAAGAAGCTTTATCAGAAAAGATCTTCCGCAAAAACTTATTGCACAAGAAAGCATCCACACTGCAAAAGTGCATCGAAAAAGCTATGCGCTTTTACGCAAGAGAGCATCAAGACTGCATGGATGCTCTCTCGAAAGTAAGCTCTGATTGCTATGCACAGAATGGCTACCAGGGCACCTGTACGTTTTCCTCTTTTCTCTTTTTGCGCAAAACCTCCCTCTTCCACGTCCACACACAACTTTTTGCGAAAGAGCTCTTTCGCAAAAAGGCGTTCTTCCTCGTAGAATGAGGAATACCTACATCAGAAAAAACCCTCTGTTCATTCATTTTTTGGGGGGGGACACAAAAATGCACTTGAGGTGTGGACGCTCCAAGTTTTTTCTGAAAAAAACCTCTGTAGTGTAGACATAGCCTCAGAGCTCTAATAGACATTATCATACTCCAAAGCATGGTAATAACAAAACTTTTTTTACTCCACTGTACATAAATATCCAAGGGCTGACTGTTACTAACAGCAAAATGATGGGTCTGTTTTGATTGTACCTTTTTTTTTCTGTGCACCAGTCTTAGCCTGAGAAAGGCAAGGTCTTTTTTTTAAAGGTAACAGTTCTGAAAGCATCAGACATTTAAAATTAGCAGAAATCTATTCTTTCTGCTAATTGTAGTCAAGGTAGCTACACATGTACAATCTTAATTTTTCCATACAAAACATCATTTCTACCATAAATATACAGCAGGCATATTTTGAGCACATCTACAGTGTGCTGACAATGAAGCATTGAAAGCTTTAGAACTAGCTTGCAACATAACAATCGGATATAGATTGTATTTGTGTATAATCCTTGAAGATCAGGGAGAGAACTGTGACTCTTGAATGGTAACAGTTAATTTAGAACTCATTGTTTTTATGTATTATTTTTATGCATTCTGATCTGCATTAGGAGATAAATTTTAACTACTAATCACAGCAAATATTTGTACTTGTCTAGTACTTAACATTTGAAGATCTTGAAACATTTTATATAGACTAATGAGGTAGGTAGGCATAATCAGTCTCTTCTATAGATGTCAAGATTGTGGCATGGGGGAGTAAGTGACTTCCTTTTTGGAATTGTGGCTGCAGACTTAAGACCTCTGAGCTTCTTATTTTGTATATTAAGGATATGAGCATTTTTTCTGCTAAAGGGCAGGGATTAATATTAGCTGAAGATCTGCTGTCAACCTTAGTCTCCAATGTAGTTTCTTTGTTTTAGAAAATGGTGGGTTTCTGGTAACTTGAAATGTGTGGAACTGGTGATAATTATCTTATGCAATTTGTGGGTGTTATATTTCATTTCTACGTTATAGCAAGAAGCAGATAGAAAAGATTATTTTTCTTGCAGGATTCCCCACAGTTCATGTAAATAGATCTATCATACAAACACAATTGTTTGATATGAAAATGCTCATCTAATGGGGCTGGTTTATCAGGAAAGGATGAAAAGTGTCACCACTTTTTTGTAAAGGAGGGTACAAACTGAAATTGTGCCATGCAGCAGGAAAAAGAAAAAAAACGCAGTGGTGCAAATAAGCAGAGCACTTACAAAAACTAAAAGCACAAAAAGGAAAGAGGCGGAGAGATCTCCTCTCATTAGACAGGAAAATAAACTGACCTTTAATAAAAATATTCACTCTACATTGCTTGTGGCATTTAAATATTCTTTTGACAATTAAATCAAGGGGAGTTTAGAGCACTTGGAGCTGTCTTAATTTCTGAAGTACTTGAGCAAATGAGCTCCTTCTGAATATATATGGTAAAATAGACTTTAGCTGCTATAGTCCCCTCAAGTTCCAGCCCCATGGGGAGGAGACACCAAGACTCATGGCTTACCCACAGAGCTCTAATAACTCTTCTTGGGGACCACGGCTAGTGGATTTTGTGAGGACCCCTCCTAGGTCTGTGGGTGGGCCAAAAATTAGAGGTTCATTGTGAAAGAGGGATCTGCTGGGAAGGGGACTGGAGCGAGGGTGTGGGATTTGGGTGGGAAGCAGGGGGCAGGAGCAGTCTGGGGTGGGGGTGTAGAGACTGGGCAGGAGAGAGGATGCAGGAACAGAGTGGGGGTGGGGTGCAGGATCTGTGCAGGAGTGGGCTAGAGCCATGGGGTCTGGGCTGTAAGGGCAGGAAATGGGGACGCCTACCTGGCACATCTGCCATGGAGCACAGGTGCAGTTCTGCAGGGAAGTGTTCCCTGTGGGCACTTACCCCCACTGCTCCCATTAGCCAAGATTCCCAGCCAATGGGAGTGTTGGGATGGTGCCTGCAGGGAGTACTTCCCTTCAGTGCGCTGAACTGTATGGAGCTGCTTCCTCTCCCTGCCAGGGCTGAATGTGGCCCATGAGGCTCAAGGCTCACCCCTACCCCAGCAGCAGCACTTGAGCTGGTCAGCACTGGTACCGTCAGCCATGAAATAAAACTATTTCATGCATGTAAATGTTTTAAATATGAGTTGGCAAAACACTTTGCATAAAATGTGCTACAATGCAAATGGCTTTTTAAAAACAAAACAAGACTGTTTCATTTTCCTGTTAAGTTAGCTTTAGCAGTTCTTAGAAATGTCATTTATTAAATGTCACAGTAATTGCTTATAATATCAACCCTGAAAAGCAAACCTTTGTAAATGCACTTTCTGAAGCTTTGTTCTTCTCTGTTTGTAGTCTGTCTGGTACATTTCTACTAAGTAAATAAAATAAGGATTTCAGTTTGACAACTAAACCAGTATCTAAAAATGTGTCTGTTTGGTTTGTTTGAGGATGTTTAATAAGTTCTTTAATTAAAAGAAATGCATAATCTATTCTAATTCTAAATTAAGTGGAAATATTTTAGAATAGCTGTGAAGTGGATACACTCATTCATTTGTCAGTATTGCTCAACTTTGCTCTTCAAGGACCATCCTGAGTTGAGGGAATATATTCTGTATACCCATTGAGTACTTGGCCTCTCTCTACTGAGACTGAAAACAAAGGTACACTTAGTGCCAATTCAGTGGCTATGTCTGTAATATGAACCGTTTCACAGTATGTTGGCCATTAAGCACTGGAAGCATATCCTTTTTAATAACAGCAATCTTAGAAACAGTACCTGGTCTGCTTTTCTTACAAGGGGGATGTTGAGTTAGGGGGTCAGCTTGCACCTTCATTTCTACCATATGTGTATATGTATGTGGACAGCAAAAACAGGCAGGGAAAATGGAGCCAGAGTAATGAATCCATTTGAAAAATTAGAGACCTAAATCAGGTAGACGTTGTGAGGATGAATACTGCAACACCTGAAAAAACTTTTAAAAATCTGGTCATCACTGTTTTGCTCAAGGTCACGTAGGAGGTCTGTGCAGAGCCAGCAATTTAATCCACATCTCCTAAGACAGGGCGCAGTGCTTGAGACATACAGGAGTGCTGTTCCTCCTTGAGATTAAACAAATTTTAAAAAAAGAAAGGAAGCAAGCCATATCATATTAACATACTGTTTTATGATAAGGTGCGAGAGCATTTAGGATATTATCTTAAATCAGAGCAACGTGCCATGTAATCTTCACTACACAGTCCCCTGTCCTATGAAACATATTTGATTATACTGAATCCCTTGGTCACATGTCAGATATAAAAATGTTGGTATAAAATTGGT